GGGAAGTTAGGAGGTTATTCCTAGATTTTGTTTCCTCTTGTAACCTATAAATAGTGCCTCTATTCCTCATCTTTGATCAATCAATTTGAGAATTTATTTCTTCTCTCTTTTCTCGTGTATGTCTCTCTGGTGTCTCTGTCCTTAGTTTTTAGCATCGTTTTAACTGCAACCTCTCTCATCCCAATGCTAAATAATTTGAGATAGAGAATATATTAGTTGACGCTCCTCCATCAATTAGCACTCTTTTAACTCGTACGTTGTCGATCACTGGTGAAATGACAAAGGCATCATTATACGGTAAATGGACACCTTCTGAATCCTCAGCATAGAATGTAACAGCAACCACTGGTTTGGCATAAGAAGTATTCACTTCATGCTGCGCCTCACGAATCAGGGCTTCCCTCCTATTGCCAAAATAACCCCCACTGGGACCACTGAAGATAGTATTTATAAATTTGGTCTTTTTCTCTCTGCTTCTCTCTTATTCGGTGAAGGTGACCGATCCTTGTCATCCCTATCAGAACGATCATATTTTCTCTTCCCTTGGAAAGAGCACACGTCCTTTTTCCCATATACTTCTTCAAATGGCCTCGCCGGATTAGATTCTCAATCTGATCTCTTAGGTCATAACATTGTGAAGTGTCATGACCATGATGTCGGTGGAATCTGCAGTATTTGTTATTATTTCTTTTATCCGGACTCGATTTCATTTTGCCTGACTTCTCTAGCATAATGTGCAAGTCACTATTCTCGTTATTCGCCAAATTTTCGATGAGTGGTATATTGAGAGGCATTGATCATGGACTCGTACAGTCCGATCTTGTTCTAGTCAATTGTCGTAACTGGACTTTTTTTGTTCTTGGTCCCTGCTCGAGTAAGCTCTTCTTTGATTGTGAACTCTGGACCCRAGCTGGGACATGCTTTGAGATAATGGTTTGATGCTGGAGTTGCTTAGCATTAAGTACGTCTTCTGCATGCATGTACTTTCGAGCGCATTGAATTGCTTCACTATAAGTTCGCGTCGGTTACAAGGCATAATGATAAGAAAACAATAGCCAATTGGATCTAAGAACCCTTATGGTTATGCAAACCCCTAGATCACAAGTGCTAAAACCGCCAAATCAAGATGATGTCAACCCAAGGAAGAAGTTAGAACGGATTTACCTTGATGATCAATATCAAGAGTAGAGAAAACTTGTTTCTAAACTCAAGATTCGAACCACTCCACAAGATAGCTTGATCAAGGCTACTTGAATGATTCTAGCATGCAATTCTAAAACACAAGAAATGCAAAGGAAAAGCTCATGGCTCAATAAGCTTAAATTTCATTATCTCAAAACTCAAATCTTTTTCCAAGGGAACAAGCTAGGCTATTTATAGCCTCCAAAACAACCCTTCAAGTAACCTAAAAGAATTGTAAAGGTTGTAACTCCCTACTACATCAATACCATAACCATCACTAACACAAATAAAACTTAAAACACATAAATGAAATGTTTAAAACTGAAAATACGATTAAACATGCTTTAAATCCGAGAATGAAACTCCTCCACCATAAAACCAAGAGTTTGTAACCCTTCAAGAGTGAATGAATTGGGGTTTGAACTACTTTCAAGTACTTTGAAGTCTTGTTCATTTAATGCATCTTGAGTTCAACTTAGACTTCCATTAATGCAACTTGAGTTTGTAGTAAATGAAGTTGGACTTGTTCTTGACTTAATTCAATGCAACTTGAGGTTGCCATAACACTAGAGTGCATTTAATGCAACTCCAATTTGTTGTCAACTCGGACATAGGATTCTCCAACAACTTCCTTTAACTCTTGAAGACTAAGACACTTTGGTTCATATCACATAAGATTGGATCAAATCAGGATTGTTTATGGAGACATGAATGTCATTCTTGCCACATCATCCGAAAAATCTGGTACCTTTATTTTTTCTGCCATAAACCTCCCAACGAACTCGCCCAACGACTCACCATCTTCCTGATGAATGGTCAACAGATGCTTGTCTGGTTTCTTCGTGTCATGCTGGCCAGAGAATTGGTGAATGAATCACCTTCCTTAATTACCTCTAAGAGTCGATAGAATGCGGCTTCAGTTGTCGATACATTGACCGAGCTTCAACTTTTAAAGTCACAGAAAATGCTCGGCATTTCATTTAATCGCCCGCGACATTTAGCTCTATCAACCCTTTGCATAATTCAATATGATAACCTGGATCTATTGATCCGTCATATGCCTTCATGTCCGGCTTTTTCATCTTTGGCGGGAGCGCATATGCCATTATCGGAGCTGTGAAGGGCAGATTTTCTCTTTCTCCCAGCTCTACCCAAGTTGCATCATCTGGTTTGCAACTTTGTCGCAGGCCTCAAAATCGCTCTAGAGCTTACTGATCACCTATTTCATGGGATTGTGGACTTTCGATATTTCTACTGTCGCCTGATATGTAGATGTTGTCGCGGGCATTTGACTGTGCCCCCCCATGGTCAGAGTAGACCCCAAATTATGTGTTAATGGAGTTTGTCGCTCCATTTGTTGGGCCTCATTCCGCCCGTTCTTTGTATGTCGCATATCTAGTATTTTCGAGGTAATATGTACTCGGAGTTCTTCCCTTGGATCGATGGTGGCTGTTCTTCTAGTTCTTAGGTTCAGTAATTCATGTACTGATTCACGAGGTCGTGTATCATCTATATTACCGTCTCCCGACAACGTAGGAGCTTTACCGCGAGCTGGGTCTCTTGGGACTGGTGAGTATGCAGTATCCTCACGGACATGCCTGTCTTGGACCCTGGTAGACGACCCTGGGATATCTCGAGTCATAGCATATGGAATTTGACTACGGTGCAAGGTTGTCGTCAATTCCGTGATCTTTGCCCAACAAATGGGCAACTCCGCCGAGTTCCGAGCCAACTTCGTTGAGTTCTGCATGCATTCCCATTAACTCCTAACCCATTTGCCGGACGTTATTTGAAGTACTGGGCCAGGGGGCATTTCTTCTTGCTCCTCCTCCTCGCTTCAAGGGGGGCCTTCCTCGCCCTCGGGTTGGTCTGTGAACAGAAGTAGGGGTTCTGCTACTTGTGAAAGATTGTTGTAACATGCTGTCATCCGCCATTTCTTTGTTGGTTTTTACTGGGTTTTTTAGGATTAAAATATATATAAATTTTCGTTTGCCACAGACAGCACCAATTGTTCGTACCGAATAATTTTCGATAGTCACAATAGATCTTTGAGAACACTCCAAGATAAAGAACCTGCAAAAGGGAGTTAGCACTACGAAGCTTTTGTCAGTATCAGTATATAAAAATTGAATCTGGAAAAAATAAGATCACCCCTCCATACTCTTTATTAGAAGTATTTATAGGGTCTAAGAACTAACCGTTTCACAGGTCTGAGAGAGGTTCATTTTGAATTTGAATTGGCAGTTTCCCTCACCACAATTATAGGAAACTGTGCGCATAATGGGGGGATCAGTTGGATTAGTGGGATTTTGGATAACTACTCCCATCCAACTGACACGCGCCTTGTTCGGCATTTGTCTGAACTGGAGTAATAAAGCACGTGGCTTACGCATGCTTCCCCTTTCGTTTCTCCAAGGAGATTTTCTTTTTGATGAGGTGTTCTTAAGAGAGATAGCACTTAACAATTAACAATTTTGTAAAATAATAATAACAATGGATAAGAATCAGAAGAGTTATAACGTAAACATTTGTGTAGGAGAAAAAAATTAAATGCACTACAAAGTGGATTAAATGAATGTAACATGAAAACTTAAAAACATGAAAAGTGTTGCAGTTATTTATATAAATTTGAAATTAAAAAAAATTAATTAAGTTTAATGGTGAAATATGAAAAGTTTTAGAATCTCAAAATGTTTACGAGAATAAAAATGTAAATCTTATTCAATTATATAATAATGTCTTCGAATAAAAATTTTACAATAATAATGAAAATAACTAAATTAACAAAATATAGTATTGATTTTAATTGTTAGAAAATTGAATTACTAAATGAATTTCAAATTTATGTATTTAGGTGTGTTGATGCGTGGATTTCGGTCCTCTAGTTCTCCTCCTCGCACACACCAAACTTGATTATCGGGACTAATACTTGCAAAACCAAATCGAACTAAACCGGGGTGACTCTAGTCACACGGGCTCCGATGCCTAAGTTAGCAAGAGAATAACGTGAAAGTGGTCAACTTTATATGCCCTTACCTCTAGGGTTGGACTGCTACTTACAGTAGTGAAGTAGTTCCAGAACCTTCTGTAGCTAACCCTAATTCACAGTTGCAAGGCCTGGGTGAAATCGTTGATCGCAGATGGGAGACATGCTGGCTGGGCCGTGGGCCGAGCCCTTCGTGGCCTAGCGGGCTTCCTTCCGATCGCGTCCTGTAGCTTGGCTATCGTCGATTCTCGTTGCATAACAATTCCCCCTACTCTCAATGTAATGGCCCGCGTTCTCTGACTCGTCTTTTTAGAGATAAATAGTGTCTTTGGATTTTTTCCTAAGCTGATAACTTTAATTCTTGGATTTTATAATTTTGAAATTCTAATTTTTGGCTAAAGTAGAATTAAGTTTAATTTCGTTGGATTAAGATAATTTAAGTTCTCGATCAGTGTAGGAGATTTTTAGTTAAATCTTAAATTCACGGGTTTTAGGATTTTCCTTCATAAATTATACTTTTCTTTAAATTGTTATTCTTGGGTCTTAGAGTTGAAGTTAATTATTTTATCTCTAATTATTGTGAGTTTTATTTTAACTACTAATGTGAAATTTCGGGTTTCTTGTTTTGGACCGTTAGAACTATTTGAAAATAGAATTCTAGTTTCCTCTAGCCCATGGGCTTTCCATTAGAGTTGGGAGTTGGGCTTTTCTTTTTTAAAACTAATTAAGAGGATTCTTTAAAAATTGGGAATGTGGGCTTTTTGGTTTAAAAGCAAAATAAATAAAATAAACATAAAACAAAGAAAACCCTAAGTGGCCTCTCTTTCCCCCTCCTTCTCCTTGTAGCCGTCACACCCACCCCACCCTCTTCTTCTTTTCTCCTCCGGCCACTTTCCGGTGTTGGCAACAATGGCAGC